TTGACTTATCAGGCTCATATTTTATGATTTTGTATATAAAATTAAAATTTGTAATAATAATAGTAGAGATATTTATGTAAGTTTGGTCATTTATTATTTTTAAATAAGTATTAGAGTAATTTCTTATATCTAAACTCTTATTTTATGAAATAAGTATTTGGAGTACTTTTTTTTTATATCTAAACTCTTAATTTAAAATAAGTACTCATATGATGAAGACTTTATAGAGATAAATATGTATATGTGGTCCTGAATTATTTCGAATAAGTACTTAAAATAATTTCATATATCTAAACACTTATTTGAAATAAGTATTTGTATATTAAAGAATTTTATGACAATTTTAGTGAGAAAAAAAAAAACTATTCGGTGGTTGATGACGTTTAGTAACTAATTATCTATGAAATAACGTTAGATTTATGATTTCATCACTAATAAAAAGGAGATATACTAAAATAAATATGGATTTTTTTAGAAAATGTGAAATTCATCGCTAATAGTGGCGCTAACATTTAGCAATGAAATCTCGAAGCTAATAATATATTATTATTCATATTTATTTTTAATAACTATATTTTTTCTAATTATATCAAATATAACAATATATTTTCTTTACACTAAGAATTAAGAAAAATAACTCTATTATAATACTTACTAGAAGTATATAACTTCCAATTATAATTAAAAGAATAATTTGAGTTATATCTAACATGTGTTAATAACTAATTATATAGAAACATAAGCTCATATCCATTACATTGTATATATAATCAAGTCAATGCAAAGAGTTACATTGATTTGATCATTTACTAATTTAATATTTTATTAATTACATTAAAACTCAATAATCAATTGAACTAATAATAGCTAAGAATTTAATATGTCTATACAGTAGACCAAATACTGTCTCTCTTATGATTATTATTTTGTATTTGTAGTACTTTAATAATTTTGATACTACTAAGATTTATTTAAAAAATTATTAAGAATTTAATATGGTTGATATAAAAGTATAAATCATAATCTATATAAATAAATTATTACCTATAAGTTTTAATATCATTTAAATAACTATATAATTTATTTAATTAAATTTGAATATCTAATTATATCACATTTAACTAACTATATAATGTATTTATTAAAATTTGAATACCTAATAATATCACATTTTAAAAGACTATGTGCTTTTATCTAGTTGCATCGATCATTAATTATATTAAATTTAAATTAGCATAAAAAGTATTGATGTTATGGTCACTTACAATTAATAACTTAATAATTATCATAAATTTGAATATCTAATTATATCACATTTTAAAAAACTCTATGCTTTTATCTAGTTGCATTGATCATTAATTATATTGAATTTAAATAAGCGCAAAAATTTAATATGTTATGTTCAATTACAATTAATAACTTAATAATTATCATAATTTGAATTAAACATTTTATGAGTAATTCCATAAAATTGAAATAGGAGCACATGACAAAGCTAATAATATCATAATTTTATTAGTATTACTAAATGTGAGTTTTAGTTATAATTTGTTAATTAACTATGTAAATAAAGTCATCGCTAAACTTTCCGACTTAATCTTTTGTTGCAATTAATAATTAGTTTTTGATATTTTCCTTTATATATTGGATTATATGATTCTTGACAACTATATTTCTCTGAATCTTATTTTTCACAAAAATAATTATTTTTTCTATTTAGTTTAATATAAATTATATTTTAATAATATTTTAGCTGTTATAAGTATCTTTTAGCAATACTTGTTACTACATTTATTTATACTTATAGTATTTGTATATTAAAAGTAAAGAAGGTAAAAATATGTATAAATATAACAAGAAAAGGATCCAATTTACCAAGCCTCAAGTCCCAAAAACATAAGCCCTAACGTTATTGCGCTCTCCAGCCGCCACACCCTTCCCCATCTTCTGCACTTACCTCGTCAACACATTTGAATGCGAAAGAAGTACAAAGGCTCAATGTAAATCTCACTCTTTGTAACTTTCTATAATCTGTATTTTTTTGGGGGGTCATTTCTTTGTTCCTCTTTATTGTTTTCAATATGTATTTCATACTTTGTCATTTGAAACTTATGTTTGATTTGGTAGAAGCATCTTTATTCTTTTTCTTAGTTAATTGGGAAGAGAAAAGTTTGAATCTTTATGCTCATTGTTAGATTGGTATATCATAAAAATTAATTTTCAGTCGATTATTTTGACTAAATTTTTTATTTCTTACTTGAATGAACTCTTGCTAGTTTTTTGGCATGCTGTTGTTCATGTTAATATTAGGTTTCCTGCCTCATGTTTCATTGTTATGAATCTATTATTTTTCATTGAAATGATAAGTATAATACACATACTTATTCCTTAATATATATACAATCAGTTGTTTTGTATTTTCTGATGTTAATTTATTTTATTAAAATTTACAGGCAAATATGTGGAATCATAGAGTATCATTTACAAGCTATGACTGATGATGATCAAACTAAGGTGCAATTGAAGATAATGGCAAAAGAGGAAGGAGAAGATTGTATGGCTTTGGGTCTCAAGCAAGATTTCTAGTACTATAATTAGTGTCATATAAGAATTATGCATTGTAAATTTCTTAAAGTTTAAATATAATTATCTGTAACTTGAAAACTGTTTTAGAATCTAAATTTTTGGATTCTTTGTTACATTATAAAATTTCTTGTGACTAACGATGCTTGTGGAAAATTCTCAAATTTGTAACAATGCACTTTTTAATTTGTATCTAATTATACACGTATAAATAATTGCACGTATAATATTCGTAGCTAATGAAGAAAATCTTTAGCTATAATTGGATATATTTCATAGCAAAAAGAATGGCTTCTTAGCTACTAACGAAAATGTTTGTGGCAAATACTTTAATTTGTATCTATAAAATTTTAAATCGTAGCTAAATATAAATACTATTGCCACGAGACTAAACTATAAAAATAGCCACAAAATTTGAATTTTCACGGCAACCAAATCAAATCTTTTGCCACAGAAGAACACCTTGTGGCTACAGACTGCTACAGATTTATTTGTCATGGCAAAAAAATTTTTTTTTTTTGCTATAAGTATATATTTTGTGACAAAAAGGCATTATGAATACAGTTACAACACAGAAATTTCGTAGCAACAAGTATTAGTTGTTAGCCACGCAACATGTAAAGTTTGTAGCTAACTTTTAGCTACGCTACATTTTGCTACGAATGCTACGGAAAAAAATATTGTGGCTAAAGTGTTTAGCCATGGAAAATTTCATATTTAGCTACGATGAAATTCATAGCTATATATGTATAATGTCGTTCGTTTGTGGGATTTGAGGGCCGGGGATTGTTTGTAGTTGTTGTAGGAGGTTGGGCAGATGTGTTAGGGGGCTGACCAGCCGGAATTAATGGCCGGCCGCCGGCCGGCGAGCCATAGGCTGTTTCTCTCTCTAGATCGCCCAAATCGCCTATTTGTATTCAGTTGTATTCGAATGTATATTTCAGCCGTATTCACATGTATTCAGCAGCATTCATTTATATATTTTAGATGTATTAAAAGTTATGCGTACTCTCTTCTATTCAGTTTTAATCAGTTGTATTTAACTATTCTATTCAGCAGTAGTTAGTTGTATTCAAGTGTTTTATACAACTGTATTCAGTTGTAGTTAGTTATATTCAACTATTTTATTCAGCAGAAGTTAGTCATATTTTGTTGCATTCAAGAGTTTTATTCAGCTGTATTCAGTTGTATTTTGTTGTATTCAAGTGTTTTATTCAGATGAATTAAGTTGTATTTTGTTGTATTCAACTGTATACAGTTCTACTCAACTGTATTATTCATACGTATTTCTCTTTGTTCAGCTATAATCTTTATTATGTATCTTTCAAATACAGATTAATGAGGGATCGTTTTAGTTCGTTGAGTGAAATTAGGAGAATATCATGTGATTTGATTTCTTTCCATTTTTAA